GCTGCAGCCCAGAGAATCTGGACGAATAGGCTGGGCGCTTGGCCGGGGTTGGCTGGGCCGGTTCTGTGCGACCGCTGCACGCGCAGAACCTGGGAGACTTTACTTTTTGTAGCGGCCACTATCCTGTGTCTCCTCCTGGGCTGGCTTCTGTGCCTGTGCGCGCACACTGCGTCTGCAGCAACATACATGGCGTCCCACGTCCGTTGTTAATGCAATTTTGGTGAGATGCGGAGCTTGAGGCGACGTCGTCCCTGCAGCCGGCCAATCGACAGCGCCCGTGGTCTGTACTTGATCTGATCCAGACGTCCTGCGTGGTAGTCGAACCGCAGCCAACCTGCCTGGCGGCGCATTTGTGGAAAAGGTGCTCAAGTTGCCCCGTCCCTTCTCCCAGGGAGCCATGTCCATGTTGATTGCTTGCCGTGATAATAAGACGTGACTAAGGACCGAGGACGGCGTCATGACTTGGGGTTGGGATCTCTAATCTCCAATACCCGGCAGGCCTTAACGCAACAGTGACCGCTGACCGCAGACCGCAGACCGCAGAACCGGAGACAACATGTCGCGACTACCTATCCGCACCGACCGAAGGTAGGCGTTCTGTCGTGTATCCGTATCTGCAAAGGTACGATGGCCTGCGAACTAGGGACCTCGGGATGGACGCGCCGATCCTTTCGCACCCAACTTGAGCCAGGAACCCTCGTCTTGAAACAAGGTCTGCGAGGGGCAGCCGTCATGTGCAGGCCGTCGCATGGCATAGCATTGCGTTGATGTCGCCGCCGCCACGTCTGGATTGGCTCGGTGAGCCGCACTTCACCGTGATTGCAACGACAGTCAATGGAGGCTTCCGTTTGTTGCTTCGTGCCAAGGCATGGGCGTCTAGCGTGTCTCGTCGGATTTCCCAGAATGGAAGTGAACCATGTCGCTGATGGATTCGCCGAGATGATGGCCGTCATGTGAATCCAGGGACGTCGCTGTCTTGGTGCCTAAAGCTCACGAAGTCCTAGGGCAGACGACAAGTACCCGACGCGGGAGGATGACGGCTTGATAGCGAGGGAAGATACCAATCTGGGGTGATGAAGAGACACCAGAAGGAATCTGATATTGGGCACAAGTCTAGTGCTAGACCTGAGGCTTCTGTAGCGGCCTCCGAGTGTAAGGTGGTGGCTATCGACGCCCCAACGCCTTCAAGCCGACGCAACGCGTGGCGCGGCTTGTCTCATGCGGACAAATCCCAGAGTTGTCAAGTCATTTTGCGTGTTTTGGAAAAAGAAAGAATTCGCGCGCCTCCGAGTCCTGGGTGCTGACTCGTAAATTGAATGGCAGCGGTTCAGATGCAGGTTCAGCTTAACCCTCGACGCCCTTCCGACTCTTGCGTCTTCTCTAGGTCTCTAGACTCTTCAGTAGGGGTAGCGGGTTGTCGTCCAGTGTTTTGCCGTCAGACACGAGGATGATCTTCAGCGGGCCGGGACATTCCTTGACATGTCGATTGGCATTGGGACAGATGCACCATCGATGGGCCATACGTTGGAGAGAGACTCCAATGATGGGGGCAGATTTGCGGTTGCGGTTGCAGTGCGAGGGACATGCCATGGGCGCCGCCAACGAGGTGTTTCGCTCGGCAACATGGCTGGCCGATCCAGTGACTGGTCGACTGGATTGGACCCTGGGCATGTCCAGCACCAAGGGCTTGTCCATGTCCATGTCCCTGGCGAGTGAGCGTGGGCGTCGTCCCGCTTAGAACCCGGCAACAAACGGAGATCTCTGGGGGCGTAAGCAGGCCCTGGTTGAGTGGAGGTCGAGGAGCAAGACTGGAGGTGGTTGACGGTACCAGACGGGACGGGTTCTGGAGGAGAGGACGTCGATGGGGCCAGTGACGAGAGTCCGTGTCATGTCGTTGGAGTCTCTGGCGACCTGGTATCTCCCGTCGATGCGCGATTGGTTGTGGTTGGTGAGGGGTAGGGCCAGAAATTGAGGCCAGTGTTGCATTGCCAATGATGGGCGAGGTCGATTTAGAAGACCAGGTGCAGCGGTTGCAGATTGCAGGCCGGTGAGGTGAGGGCGACAGCAATCGCATCACATTTGAGATCTCGGTCAAGAACTCTGTCTGGGAAGACCCTCCGCGGCAAGTCCAAGGATGAGATTGGATTGGATACCACACTGCACTCGAAGTTGCCTTTACTTTTTTGGCCTTTACCGAAGGTGTGCGTGCGCAGCTACGGAAGGTACTTCCAGACAGGCCCATTGAATCGTTGTTTCCGTTTGCTTTTGATTTCCTCAAATCACGGCAAGAACTACGGATACCTTACCTAGGTATGTACTTTACTCCATGAATGGCACGAAATGGAAGGGGCGGCACCTGGCCAACACCCGATGCAACCGCTTTCTTTCTGTGAAGGGAAAGGAAGGGAAGGGGAGGGGAGGAAGGGAAGCCGCTGCTCCTGCTGGTGGATGTGATAAGTGCAACCGCAACAGCAACTGCGACTGCAACTGCCTGCACTCCGTGGTGACTTCCGCTTGGAATCATGAAGTGTGCGGTGCATGTGGAGCTGCAGGTGCGTCCGCCTATCGCCACGTGAGGCCGACACGATAAGATTCTTCTTCTCGGAGGCAAGAACATGGACTCCACGTACGTAGGTAGGTCTTTCCATGTCTACAGGAGCAAGCAAGTGAGGCAGGAACCTAAGGCAGTCCAGGTCAGTCTTCTTCCCTGCCTTGCTTGCATCCCGTGATCCAATCCGTCCAATTGCTTTCTCTTTCCTGCACCGCCATTGAGTTCAGCTCGGCTCGGCTCTGCTCTCGCACAGAAAGGAAGGGGCGACAAACTCCTCCTGGCCGCCAACAACGGGAATTGCAGGGTGTGTTGCTGCTCGTCTCCATCTAGCCGCAGCAACTCCCACAACCAGACGAGGTAAAATCTAATACCTCAGAGGTACCCGACTTTCACCAGCCAAGGTACAATATACAGCAAGGTACAGATATAGAAAAGGACTAAGTAACCCTAATAGATATAACCTAAGGTGTGAACATAGAAGTACTATACTTAGTACTAGAAAATATAGAGGTTTTAAGAGAGATAAAAATAAAGTAAATAAAATATAATAACTTTTTTTCTACTATAGTAACTTTAGCTACTAAAGTTATAAGAACTTTACTTTATATAAAAAAAGTAGTAATAAAGTAAGTAACTAGTATTTTATATTTATTAAATAATATAATAGTAAACTAATAACTTAATAACTTTAATAATAATTTTAACTTAAAGAGTGTTATATATACTAACTTTTAAGTAGCTACTTAAAATATATAAAAATTTTAATTAAAAAGAGTATAAAAGTTCTTTATAAGTACTACTAAACTTAATATTAGGGATATTATTACTATATTTATTTTTAGTACTTATTTCTAGAAATAAACTAAACTATAGTTAATAAACTTATAAACTTAAACTTTAAACTAAATTTATAAGAAATATTAATAAGGGGTAATAGATTAAATAGAGTAAGATTTTATTATAGTTCTCTAGGGTAATAAATATACTACTTATAGAACTACTCTACTAAGGACCTTATTAATCGCTTAGATTATATAAAAAAAGTAGGATAAAGAGTTAAGGGATAAAGTAGTATACTAAGACTAATATAAGAGAAATTCAAACTAATAACAGGCCACTCACACCCTAGGGTGGGGGGAGGGTCAACTTTCACTAGCAGATCCAGATGAGTCCGCCCTGGACCAGCCAACTCATTCTTCGCCTTTCATTCGTCTGTTCCAACTTTGACCGCCGGTCCGCCTGCTTCTGCTTCTGCTTCTGCTCGGTGCAGGTTCTGCCCGCCCCCTTCCAGGAACAGGAAGACGTTCCCCGGGCCACAGTCTCCATCTCGGACACTTGCAACGGTCCATTTCGAAGACGACCTCTCGACTCGTTGACCTTGCTTGGCTGATTCCCCGTCTGCTTACTCGACTACGGATACTTCCAACAAAATCTCGTCGTGCGGCGCAGCGAGCTGCATGGGAAGCGAGCGCACACAGAATATCGACTTTGCGCAATCCCCCCGCCATACAAACCTCACTGCCATCAACAGCCAGTGTCAAAACCACTCCCACTTACACCTACACCACCACCGAGTTGCCACTCGCCCAACCACCCAGTCAAGCTTGCCAAGGACGGATGATACCTTACACAAGAACGGCTCGCAACACACAACACACGTTGCTCGGACATAATCCGCCAATGGCTTTGTGTGTCATGTCCAATTGAGCAGTGCAGCAGCCCCCGATGCTGCTGCAAGTTGCAACTGCACTCCAACTCCACAGTCTCACTTCGTGCTCGCCCGCGCCTATGCCTTTCCGGACTCTATTCCGGTCCGCGTCTGTCCCCTAGACCCGGTTGACGGGCAGCGGGCCACTGCTTGCTTCAGCAGCGCCTTATTCGAAGCCAATGCACCAAAGTCGGGTCGCCTCTCTCGCACCACAACGGAGGATACGTCGGCCTGCTTTCCCCTCTAGGCCGCCTTTACCAGGCCAACGCTGCTGCAACGAACGTCAACCAACGCCCCTGCAGGGAACAATTGCGCGAAGCACCTGGAAGGCCGCGCACCCGCCAAGGAGACACTGCATCTGCTCGAAGCTGCCGCAACGTGCCTTCCACACGTCCGTCTCCCCCACCAAACATAAGCCTCCAACCTGCATTCCAGCAAGTCCACACTGGCTTCTAGAACCGCCTCTGATTGGGCACCGACTGCCTCGGCGGCTCCCGAGCGTCGAGGATCCCCGAGCCCCGTACCGTAGCCGCGGCCAACTTCATAGAGCCAACAACACCATTCAATGGTTGATGCTTGTTGTTGCTGAATCCTTCTCCAAATACTTGCTATCAATATCGCCTGACCGATCCTACTGTTTTGATAACGCCATTGCCCAAGTCCAACTTTCTCGGCTGTCTCTCGCATTTCCTCCTCAGCTCTTGTCTACCTGTAGTTGCCTATTGGCTGCTTTACGTCATAATGTCCGCCACGGAAGATGCCCGCATCGCAGCTCTCCAGAAATACACCGCCTGTGACATATCAGACGCCCTCGTCAAGCTCAAAGTCCCTGGGGCTGGATTCTTGCCCGACCTCCAGCTCCTCAACCAATCAACCCCTGCAGATGCTCCCATTACCATAGCACCGGCGTCCACCATACTATTTGCAAGGAAGGGTGAAAAGCTGGAGTCGCCCCCGGCCAACATCCCCAAAGACACCCATTGGGCAGATATCACGGAGCCAGGAACCATTGTGATCATCAGGCAGCCCGATGGTCAGAAGAACGCCGTCTGCGGGGGCATCATGGCCGTCAGGATGAAGGTCCGCCAAGCCAAGGCGGTCGTCGTCGTGGGTCGTGCGAGGGATCTGGACGAACTGACCAGTACGGGCCTTCCCGTGAGTTGAGTCGATTCATGTTGCGTCCGGGCGGACAGCACCAACAGTGGCTAAATGACTGCAGATCTGGTCGCGAGGCATGTCCACCGTCGGCGCAGGGGCGGAGAGCTCGCCGTGGGCAGTCCAGGTGCCAATCGCCGTTGACGGGACAGTCGTCAACCCTGGCGATCTCGTTTTTGCTGACCCAGTCAATGGAGTCGTTGTCATTCCCAAGGACAAGACCGACCAGGTGTTGGAGCTCCTGCCGAAGCTGACGGCAGCTGACGACAAGGTCAAGGAAGACGTGCTGAAAGGCACGAGCGTCTTTGACGCCTTCAAGGCTCACCGGAGCAACCTCTAGCTCCTGTCTGCTACTGCTGCAGGTTATGATTGGATTATGCAGTCAAGTGTTTGAATAAGGCGGTCAGACAACAGAAACATGCTCTGAACGAAGACGATCCCGCCAGCCACCGCCGACTTGTACATTCAGAGCTCGAGTGCCCGTCACCGCGCTCCTGTGCCGTTGATCCTCCGTCATCGACCTGCTCTAATCACCTCCCGCAGAGGTAGTTGAAGGAAAGACGTCCATCCCGAAAAACCTCCCGTCTCCGCCCAACCAGCCAAGACCGCTTACAACCCTATATCCCCTGCCCGCCCATCGGTGCCCCAAGGAACGCACTGATCTTTTCTGTGTATTGGTGTCCATCCCAAGAACCCTACCGAGTCCCAAAGGTCCCTTTTGCAAAACCCAAAACCCCGACTGTTGCCGGCTTATTCGGCATCTGAGCCCTCGTCGTCGGGTTCCAACACACTAGGGTCTCCAGGGTACCTGTCAGATATCACATTCCCAGCGACGGGGAATAATATCGAGGCCAGGGCGCTAGGATGTGGAAAAAATCCCTCTCAAAGAAAAAAAAAAGTACACACAAAAAGGCTCCTCTCGCTTGACAGAGTTTCGATTGGCATGATTACCTGATCACATGGGCCCGGGCTGGTTAATATCCCTCCGACTCATGGTTCCGGGGAGGGGGCCGAGATTGATATCACTGCCACTTTTCGGGAGCCGTAACCTCGCCTTTCTGTCCCGCCTTGTACAGCATTTCAGTAACGTAAACTCTTCCATGATGCTCAACGTTCCCGACGTTATCGTGTCTGTGCTCTCTTGCCCGACAATCAACACTGCCCCATGATGCTCGGGTAATCGTCTCGTAGGCTTGATAAACTCCAATTCAGAAGGCACCGGTAGCTCACAGAAACAGGCGTTGATGTGGCAAAGATCGTCGTCGAGGACCGTAGCCTGGTCTAGTCACATCGTCTGGCAGACATGATACCATGCAGTAGTCCAACGAACCCAAAATCTAGGGTAGACACCCCCAAACCCGCCCTGTCACCTGTCTTCTGACAGGCACATTCACCGGACCCTTCGCAAGAGACAGCCTGAAGGCACACTTGGAACTGTATTTCAATCAAGAATGCTAGCGGTTGAGACGACGACGATAGTGAGGCAGAGTAAGTACATGTGAACCAGCGAGAAAGGTACTTGCTCTTGCACAGGGCATTCGTCAGCCTAGCAGCAGCAGCAGCAGGCGATAGAGTTAAAACAACGCCATCACAATCACCTAGCTCGTCGTCCTAGACTTGCTGGCCCTTGTTCTTCCAATGACAGCTGCGGCGCGGCGTCCGAGACTAAGATGTGACGGAGCTAGACAAGTCCAACGACGTGAGAACGCCAAAACGTGCACCGCCGTCCCTCAATCACTGTACTCGACAGCAGTAGTCCAATTAGTCTTGAACTTGACTCCCATCGTGACATCTTACACATACGCAGCGTGCCATACATCGTCATCATCATCATCAACCTCACCACACCGGAAAGTAATAACACAAAGATTCATAAAAACGAACGGCGCAAAGTTTGCTTTTTCTATATATGATGATCATCAATTCATAAACGTTGCCCATTTCATAAGAAGCATTAGGCAGCATGATGGCGGTGGCGTTGGCGTTGGTGTTGTGTCCCTCTCCGTGTGCATGCGCGTGTGTGTTTGTATAAAAGAAAAAAATGGAAAAGGGAAAAAACCAAACTCTGCCCAATGTTCCCAACACCCCAATGCAAGACGACACACACACACACATCACACACACGCGGTAGAAGGAAAACCAAGCGGGGAGGGGAAAAGGGAGAAGAGACCAAAAGACCATGAGACAAAAACACACTCGACATGAAAACTCCCCCAATCTCCCCAAATCAAATAAAAAAAAAGTGTTCCAAGCAGAGCCAGCGCCGGGCTGAGCCGCGATTCGTCTCCAATCGGAGGATGACGAGGGGCCATGGGCCTTGGGCGGTGGTCTCGAGGCATTACTGACACTGAGGGGGGAGCCGACTGTGTCAAGCCAGCTCTCTCCCCCATCCTGTTTGTTCATTTTGGTCCGGATTCATCTGATGTACAATAGTTGAGAGCGTTTTCCGGGTGACTCGTTCGGGGAGTGACGGCGTTCCTATGACAGCCAGACGTCCCTCTCCTTGACGGGGGTCCGTCCCGGCTGGCGGTCCAACCCGAAATCGAGCTTCGGGATCTCAATCTTGGGCGCGGGCTCGACGGGCTTCTTGACCGGGCTCTTCTTTGCGGGACTAGCGCCGCGTGACTCCGGGGGCGGGCCGTAGCGGACGTCCCTCGCGTCCCAGCCGTCCTCGGTAGCGGCGGCGACCCAGCAGCGGAGTGCTTCGTGCACGCAGCCGTAGAACTTTTCTTTGCAGAGCCTGAGACTGCCGCCGAGGACCTTTTCCCAGCCGGAGATGCGGAGGTCGTTGCGGAGGGTGTTGCGCTGGTCCGCCGTCGGTGTGCAGGCGATGATGGCGTTCATCAGGTCGAGATGGGAGGCGAGGTAATTCGTTGCGTCCCACTCCACGCCACCCACGTATGGAGCAGCCGGGACGGGCGGGCGCTCCGAGGGGAAGTGCCTGTGCATATAACCATAAGGCTCGGGAGTGCTGCCGTTGATAATGGCGCTCAGGGGTGCGCCGCCCTTGGTTGACATTTCCGAGGGCAAGGCGATGACGTTAAGATGGTGGAGGAAGATCCAAAAGACTTCCTTGGTGACACTGACGACCTCCTTGTTCCAGACGGTATAAGGGCGGTCTTTGCGCATCTCCAAAACGAAGCCGAGGGGCCGCTCTTCTTCCTTGGGCTGGGGGTTGCGCAGGTAGCCGAGCATCGTCTTGGCGCGGACGACACGCTCTGGCGGAGTGGCGGACTCGATGTATGTAAATAACACTGACGTGATGATGTTACGCGTGGTGAATTCACTTGGACCCTTCTTCTCGGGGTCGAACAGCATATGCAAAAGTTTCGGGAAGAGGTCGGCATGAATCGAGTGAAGGTACTGCAAGGCCAGGGCCGTGGTGCACAGGGCCTTCAGGCAGAGGAGGTTCTCATGGAGGAGAGCATCTTCATGTTCCTCTCTGTTGCATGTTAGTCCATCATCCTAGTCATCACTAAAGGGTAAACGCACCTCCACTCAACTGCCAGAATGCGGTTGAGCAGCCCGACAATCTCCTCCATACCGCCCTGCTTGATGAAGTCCTCGGTCCAGGAGACCGTCTCATTCCTCAGCAGCAGACGCAGCTTGTGTAGCTTCCCGACCTCGACGAGTTCCGGCTTCTGCACCTTGCGGAGGTACGAAACATAGTCGCCCGGCCCCTGGCCGAACTTGATCTTAGAAAGAATGCCGTTGCTTGCAGTGGAGCTCGCCGCCGACACTGGCCGCTCGCTCGTGACGCTCTCCGTCGACTTGCTCCTGAAGTGGCGGCCGATGGATGAGGAATCGCCCTTGGACTTCTTCGTCGGTGAGCTGGACGCTGACTGGTCCTTTTTGCGTGAGAGGGTGAAGCTCCTTCCCCTGCTGCGTTTGGACTGCGGGACCTCTTCCTTGTCTGAGCCCGCATTCGGCGCAGCAGAGGCTGGCTCGTTGGCGCCTTCGTTGCCGGCTGCCTCCTTTGCCGCCATCTCGGCCCAGTCTTGGCGGATAAACTCCATCTTGATCGTGTCGGCGAGGTTCCGCATCTTGTAACGCTGGTTCTCGGGGATGTTGCGCCGGTCGAGCATAGCCTCCAGGTGCTGGTCGATCTCCTTGGGATCGATTGGCCGGTCCGGAGCCTCAACCGGTGATTTCGTCTTGGTAGTCTTTTGCGACATGGCCGAGAAGGCCGTGAACAGCTTTGGCCGCTGGACTTTGCTGGTGATCCTCTCTGACGAAGACGGCTCCCGACCGTTAGCCGGTGGCCTACTACGCAGGTCCTGTGTGGATTCGTGCTTCGATATCGCCGTGGACGGATGATACGACTTGGGCCGCTGCTTCTTGGGGGCCATGGCGTCATTTGACGACGCCTCGCTCCCGTAGCGCCCGCTGCCGTGGTCAAACGACTGTTTCCCTCGCAGCCCCGTGCTCCCGAGATCCTGGCTGCAAAACTGCGCGTATATGGGCGGCGCGGGCCCGCCGACGCCGTTGGCGGACATGTCGGCGCTCGACGTCGAGCTCGGCGGGGTGCGGTTCTCCTTGTCCTTGGCCATGCGGCGCTCGTCCTCCTTCTCCTTGGAGGAGGTCTTGTTCAGGGACAGCGTCGACTTGGGCCGCGACAGGAAGCCGGCGAGGTTCGTGCTGGACTTTGTCTTCTTGGGCTTCTCGGGGGACACGTCGCGGGACTTGCGGGCTTCCTTGGTGAGGCCCTTGAGGGACAGGGTGCTGAAGGTGGATTTTGTCGGGGAGCGTGATCGGTCGCGTCGGTCGTCGTCTGGCTGCTTTCGCGGGGAGCCGCCCTGCTGGGAGTTTCCGTTCAGCTCGCCGAGGGCGCCGAAGCCTTCGGTGCGTAGGGGAGACGGCGGGGGCAGCATCTTCCCCTCGAGGCGGTCGTAGGCGGCTTGGATGTGTTGGGATGAGGAGGTGGTGGTGGTTGTTGTTGTTGTGATCTGAACGGATGGCGGGGAGGTGAAGAGCGCGGAGCCCTCAGACTGGTTACGTCGGTGGATGAAGCTTTTGAGAACGGAGGACCTGGGGCGGCGGCCGCTCTCGACTGGTCCTCCCCCATTGTTATCGCCTTCGACAGCGGAGCCCATTGTCGTGGGAATGGGCTTTGGCTCGCGGGGGGGTGGTGGAGGAGAGACAGGGTCCTGCTGGTTCAGGTTTGGATGAAAACAATGCCCGGATGGAATGCTAGCCAAGTTTTTTTGTGTGATGGATCGTCGCCCGTTGCCCAGTCTAGCGGAAAGGATATTGGAGAAGGGTGGGCGGCAGTTGGAAAGTAAAAACAAGAGACGTCAGTAAGTCCAATGCTTTCTGTGTGATGATGAAGTCTCGCCCCGA